CCCCCCAAAATAAGCCATTGCCTCCCCAGGCTAAATTCATTTGCAGTATATAACATTTATATGCTTAAGAAAATCCTTTGTACTGATCTAGTGTCAACAATAACTTATGTTAATGAGAAATTTTCTCAGAAACTAAAATTAACATTTTTGTTTTCTTTATGTCACAATCGTCAAAATGTACAGAAACACAGTAAATGTGTGCAATATATTACTTTATGCGTAGTGAAGCTATACAATAGACTGGATTCAATTTTTAAATTAAATCACTGAAATACAGACACTTTGTGATGATATTCTAAGGTGTACTAGAAGGGTTTGAATTTAGAGCAGAAAGTTTGCAGGTTTGAAGGTACTTGACTTTCCCTGTAAAATAACTCAACTATATTCCTTGGTGGGTTTCTGGAGGCATTTTTTGCTCTTGTCTCTCAGTCTACACTAAAAGTCGACACAAGGCAGCCAACTGAAATCGATTTGGACAGTAACTCCAGTTACTAACTGTTAGACAACAAGGACCATTTCTGCCATTACTCTCAGTACCTTATACAAGTACCCCCTTGACATGAGACTGCTATCAAGTCATTAGGATGTCAGGGCAGTCTAGTTAGTGGAGTCGGCCACCATCAAGTGGGTCAGTATTCAATCCCTGTGCACTCATACCTGTCAAACCTAGAGAGGGAGTGAGAGGAATGCTTCCTTCCCTCAGGGACTTTTGTCAGCTTTTGAATTTAAGTCGGCGTTCAAGATGCTGTGTTGACTTTTTCTTCCCCCTCTTGTCATATTTGCTACAGTTAGTTGTTAGACTGGCTGTTTTTGACTGGAAGTGATGCAGTTTTTTCAGACAGCAACAGTAGCTCAGGGAGAGAGGAGCTCAATCTTTTCACAGACTATCTGTCACAACACAGTGACAGTTTTAGCAAATATGTAAAAATATATATATTTATTTTATAGAAGTTATACTTTTAAAAAATAAACCTACTTGGGAATTGGGGAGAAAATGCTGAGCCCAGCACGAAACTTCTTGATGGTCCCTCCAGCTTTGAACCAGCTATGCCTCTTTTCCTGTTGGGCCTTGAGGAACTCATTGCTGAGGTGCTTCCACTGCTGTGAGGTGAATGTGCTCAGGATCCTGCCACCATAAAAACATGACTAGAGTGAGTCTGAGCTGTGCTGAATCATACGTCTAAACTGTAAAGGAAAATCAGTTTAAAGAATTACATTCTTAATCATTCATAAGCTTTAACTTTTTTTTTCGCATTTTGTCATGTTACAACCGTAATCTTACATGTAGGCATTTGTTTGTTAAAAAGCATTAGTGAACAAACAGCATCATAAAGACTACGGGATATACCACACAGGTCATGGATAAAGTTGGAAAGACAATTAAAGCCGTGTTTGGTTTTAAAACAAAAATCCAGGTTTTAAACATCTCGTTTCAATCCATTATGAAGAAATAGAGAAAGTATGGCCCAGCTGCAAACCTACTGAGACATGGCTGCCCTCCTCAACTGTCAAACCAGGTAATAATTGAGGTGCTTCCACTACTTTGAGGTGAATATGGTTAGATGTGCTGATGCAATTCTTTCAAATTTTTTCCACACACGGAGGCTCTAGAAATCTATTTTTACTATGTTTATGAAATATGTAAAACTTTAAGCTTTACTAAACCTCCATGGTGACAAAATATTGTGAATGGTTGCTTTCACAAAGATTCACATTTTTATTTAAATACAGTTTGTCACATATTTAACCTTTTAAAAGGAGTAAATTTAAGAATACAAATAATATATTGCATGAAAAAGTATTTCACATTCTTTTATCAATCTAGTAAAAGTTTGAAAATAAAATATTGCATCTGCATCTGAGTGGCTTAAACTCAACTAAGTGAACTTGAGCTACTTACAAAGAAAGATGCGCAAAACTTTTAGTATAGATGATCAAATCTAGAGACATCACCCAAAAGACTTGCTGTCATTACTGAGGTGAAAAGTGGTTCTAAAAAGTGAATACCAGTTCATATCACACTTTTCAGACGTTAATAGTGTTTCCCAGACATCTTTCCTTCTTTCCACTTAATAATTATTCTCCACTTTTTTTTTAACTATGAAATGAAATATATATTACATTCATCGCAGTTTTTGGTTGTAATGTGACAAAATGTGAAAAACTTCAAGGGGCATAAATACTTTCACAGATAAATTATAAATGATCGCCTCACTTACTTTTTGAGTTGCAGGCCCAGACTGAAGCCTTCTTTATTCGAAGGCTGAAACACGTCTACTGATGGCTCTGAATAAATAAAGATGACTAACATCATTACAGAGTCGACAGAAAGACACTCAAGTTTTTTTTTTGTTTTTTTTTCAGTCTCCCANGTGTGTGACACATATTGTACTCACTTCCCACACTCAGTAAGGGGCATAAATACCTAATGTCCCTGCTAGAAAACCAACACACACACATTGCGCCTTTACTCACCGGGTCCATCAAGGTACTGAGAAAGAGAAAAGCGCAGTCTCAGAATAATGGGCTCTGTTCTTATAACTTTCCAGGCTGTTGCAACCTCCTCCTGAATCAGGCACACACACACACAAATACACGCAGTTAGCAGCCTAATTAGGGCCATTTCTCATTGCATAAATATCTTATGAGCACCAGATGCATTATAAATGATGTGTTACTTTGCAAAATGTCAACGTTAGAATAGTAATGGGAAAAGTCGGAAGAGGTGTTTGCAGTGTGAAGAGAGTGCTGACTCACATCTAAGAAGCCGATGTTAATATGAAGATCGATGTCCACATCATCAATGGTTCCGTACTCCCTGCGCAGAGATGCAGCAACAGACACAGTAAATCTGTCAAAACTAATGTGAATCATTAGACTCTGATCACTTCTGCTGATTACACTCAGTGAGAGATGAATTAAGGTTATGTTCTCCTTTCTTATTTAGCTTAAAAATCAGGACGCAAATTTTATTTCATTACAGCTAGCATGGACACCTTTAAAGATTTTCAGGACATGATTCTGTGCTGTACCTGACAGAGATGGCACTGTCGGTGTAGATGTCTTTCACAGCTTCAATATCTGCATCTAGTTGAGGGTGCCGGTACAGGTCAGCAGCACAGCTCCCCTGCAACAAGCAGCACTGGTCACAGTTATAGCAGTGAATGAATTCTCAATGGATACTGACTATTTTCACACACACACCCAAACATCCCACAGCAACAGCACTATTCCTACCCCTTCAGCTTTTTCACATTTTGTTGAACTGCAACATGCCTCATGCCTCTGCCAATGTCCTGTTTGCGCTTGGGTTTTCCCATCATCCATAAAACATGTACATGGATGGAGCTACATGCCGTACAATCCTGGAAGAAATCTTTTTAGAGGCTGCTAAAGACATAAGGCTGATGTGGGTGTTAATTTTTTAGCAGGTTAACCACCCTAAGTACCGTATACAGAATAGTTTGGATCAAAGGACATTTATCTATTAAAGAGGCCCATGCAGAATACGCCTCGGGCGAGAGAAGGTGTTGTAAGACTTGGGAGTTGCTGTTCACGTATTTTACATTCAACCTGACTGAGTTTGAGCTACTTTACAAAAAATAGAAAAACAAGTCGGGTCCTAAATGTGCAAAGCTGGTAGAAACATTTTGCACCTGTAATCATATTAAAAAGATTGTTCCACAAATATCAAATCTGAGGACTGAATGCAAGGGCACACCATACAAAATGTAGAAAATAATGTTTTAATGATGTATTAATTTAACTTGCTCTACCACATAAAATCCTAATAATATATATGGAAAATACATAGATTATTATATTATTTTTATTACTGATAATGATTATAATTGAACAAAATGATGAAAAGTTGAAGGGATAATAATAGCTTTAAAAACAGTTTAGATTCAAACACTCACCAAGGTCCAGATTGCTTATTTTATGTAAAAGTGAATATTATAACACACATTACAAACTTAAGTTACTAAACACTGACTGCATGCATTACTTTAAATATGTTTTTGAATTTGAATTACTAGAGGAAGTGTCTCAATACTGATTTTTGAACTTCTTTCAAAGTATTTAGATAAGTCTTTTTTTATTATTATTTCTGGCTACCACTGGAAGACAGATTTGGTTCTTGATCATTTTCTGGTCTAAAAAGTCTTTCGTGCTTGTGTCTGGTGTCTTGAAGTCAAACTCTCATCTTCTGAGCTCAGTGTGCAGTACAGCTCCATCCTTATCATAGCTGCACTGCTTTCATGTACTTTGACTTCGTTGAAATGAGCTTTACTGGATTTACATTTCAATCAAAAGACTTGGAAGATAACAGTAAAAAAGGGATAACTCAGATTAAGATCTTAGGTGGAAGAAGAGCTATCAACTTTATGAGATAAAGATGATGAATTTCCTGATGGTCTTGGAGATTAATTTGCCAGTGTCTAAAATGTGCTGCAAATAATAAATTTTGCATTCATTCATTATGAAAAAGAACATAAAGTTTCAGATATCAAGCAGCATGTTGGAAGTTTTTTTTAAAATGTTCTCCCTGCTCAGTGGAACTTTATGATGGAAATATTTACCATATTTATATTTAATGTAAATATTTAAAGAGGCAGCTTACCCCAACTAACACTTCTAAAATAACAGTAAGAAAAAGGAGTTCTGTGTGCTTGTTAAACAATGAATGCAATTGTTGCTAACTAATAAAAATATGGAGCCTTTATTTCCAAATAACATTCAAAATTTACATTAATCTGAAAATATAACTTTCGAGCTCTGAGCGATAATTCATGCAAGACACTCCTGGCCTTTTCTTTAGTTTAGGAGTGGTTTAAAACAGTAATGAATTCTGTATCTTTGCTAAGGCTGTGTATCAAATACAATAACAATTAATATAATAGGTAACATTAGAACCTGTGATATATGCAATCATATTTGAAGCTGTTAAAATCAATACTTTTTTTATGTAAGCAGCACTAAGAGTCATTTTTGTGTTCTTAATAAAAGCTGTCAGGCCATGTTATGCAGTTTCACTTTGTTTTTTGGTGCAAGTACAGAGAAAGTATTGTATTCTTGCTCAAGGTTTTTAAATTGCGAGAATCTCATTCTGGCCCAGGACTAAAAAACTGATTTTTTTTTTTTTTTTACATAATCAGGGACAAAGACTGAATAAAAATGAATAATGAAGCCACATTTCAAAGAACAGCTTTGAAAGGCCAACTGAAAGTCTGGTAAATGACTGATCAACACCAATTTCAAACATATAGATAACTGGCTCAAGGTGGCACAAACAATAGTCAAATTTTGAGGTTATTTAAATTTTTACTTCTATGTCATTTAAAAAATACATTAAATACATAGCAATGACAGAAATTTATGAAAAAAACAAAATGTGTAGCATCTTAGCAAAACTACTTCAACAGTGAAGTGATAATGCCTTCTCTACCTGGATTCCATAAAGGAACTGTTCAGATTCGTTCTCCCCATCTGACTCCTCGTCGGTCCAACACTGGCCTTTGATGTCCTGTGGGCCCACGCATTGTGAAAACACCATTATAGTAGAGGAAAGAAAATACAGCCTCTTCGTAGCATCCTTTCATCTCCCTATTTAGCCTCCCGTTCAAGGGCTTCAAACAAGGCTTTATATAGCATCTCAAAGAGGAGACACAGAACATCCTCTGACATCTTCCCTCATAAGAATACCTAACTGAGAATGACAAGGATGACTTTTAAAATATGAAAAAAAGACATGTCAAAGCATGACAGTTTCAGCTCAACGGACCAGGACGTTTATTTTTAAATAGAGATAAAATAATCTCAATGCCAAAAAAAAATATCAGCCATTCTACATGCAACCTGGAACATTATTAAATCTCCTTCACAATTATCTAAATCAATTATGTGACAGTTTTATCAAACTCACTGATTACACACACCAATAGGATCCCAGCTGTCTTACCATTGGATCGGCTGTTCATAGGGCTCTCTCAGACAGGTTTAGGCCTCTGATTAGTGCCAACCATTGCAGCCTACCTCCAGGTGAAAGGAGCAAGAGCACAAAAAAATGAAGAGCTTTGTGTGACCGTCCGTTCCTTTTCACACTCCTCTGAATTCCACAGCCTTGGAAAAATTGGAGAAAAAAAATAAAAGAAAGAAAATCAGCAGAGGAAGAAAACATGCAACACAGGCTACTGCTAGTGATGCCATTCTTAGTCAACGGTGCCCTCCTCCTTTTTTTGTTTAAATCGCCTGCACTTCACCTTGCCATGTATCCTAGCAACAACCATCTCTGCCTCTTTTCAGAGTGGCATTAATCACTGTTGAGAGAAAGTGTGTGGGAGATTTGTGCTGTACGTTCAGTACCCTAGATGTCTTCACTTCTTTGTTTAGATATTTTTTCCAAGACTCTAGTCTGTTAATACCAAAGAACAAGAGGTTACTGTATTTTTTTTCTTAAGAAGTGCAGTAGAAAGACAGCACTGATGTAACCACAAAAAACATGGCATAAAAAGAACCCATTGTTTCTACTCCTTGTTGGCATGAATATCTCGTCAATGAATACTGGTAAAATATTTAAATTTCTAAAACATTTTTGTAAATAAAATCAATGACATGCAAAATGTCAAAAGCACATTGTCTATTGAGGATGGGCAATATGTGCACTGGTTAATAAAATGTTATTAACTGAATAATTATTTGTCATCTGTTAATAACAACAGATTCTAATTTATGATATGTGGAAACTACAAAAAACAAAACTCGGGTTGTAATTTTTCTTGCTTTTGAACTATATTCTTCCACATTTACACTTAAAAATATGACTAAATACAACTATTCAACAAAAGGTGAGGTTTTACTTTTAGAAGTGACAGTGATGGGTTAAAGCTTCACTAATTGTCAATATTTTTTAAATAGCAAAAAAATACCATTAAATATTGTGATAAAGTTTTAAGTCCATATGCCAATATACAAATGGGAGGTTCATCTTTCATTTATATAAAACATGTAAACAATAATTAGCTGTAATGCTGCAAATGATAATGTAGCATCTCCCTGGCAGGGCATTAGAACAGGACCCTGAAGTTTCAGTCCCTCGAATACATATGTACTTTAACGAATGGATGTTTTGCAAACAACATATTTTATGAGGTGCAAAAAACAAGAATACATTTTTTGGACAGGTGGAGTTTTGTGCAGACTATTTAAAAATATGTTTGAAATATTAAAAAAATGGCGATGTCATCACCAACCAATCCTTAGCCCCAAGAATATCAAAAAAACAAACTTCTACCAGCTCCTGGCCAATTTGTTTATCTACACATTGCAATATTGTTGCTTCCTAGGGTTGGGCATTAGTCGTATCATGTATCATGATACATTTCTTATCATGATAAGATTTCAATTCATTTTTGTCATGATAAATTCTAATTAATAATGTTTACAAACCTGGGATTGTTCTATTTTTTTCCACTGTTTAATCAATAAATGTGCATCAATAAATATCAAAAAATTTGAAAATATGACTAAACGCAGTTTAAGTTCAAATTGTTGGTTGCAAAAGCAGGTGAAAAATGCCTCTTTGTCAGCTATGCACTGATGCATGATTTAAACAAAATTACCAGAGGGAGAAGGTTCCACTTTATACCCAAAAAAGGTGGGTACCAAGCAACCAAGGGCATAAAATGACAAAGGTATAATGACATGTTGAAAGCCTAAAATATGCTTGTTTATATATAAAGGAATTGTGTGGAAACTATGAATAAATATTTAATTTCAGAAATACTCTATATTCATGTGGACAAGTTCCATAAGGCTTGAAGTTGATGTCTACCTATTTATCAATCTACTGCAATTTAGATATTTCTGTGGGAACAGTACCAAAACTGGCTCTATTCCAGGGTCCCATATCCTTCTAAATCAACCACTGAGCATCACAACACATTTCAGTTCATTAAATGTAAGGCACAATAAATCGGCATAACAAAGGCTGTACAGCAACACAGATTTGCACTGCAGATGATGATGTTAACGTATCACAGAAAAACAGCTAAGCTACACCTGTTTAGCTTAATAGTCAATAAAGCGAATTTTTCTGTTCCTTAATATTTCACTGACCAAAGAAAGAGCTTAAATGCTCTTGCTTTGATAGATCGCACTAATCTGATCTTTTCTTTCTAACACTGCAGAACCCTGCTCATCTCCATGCTCAGCTCCTATTCGTTTTCTACGTCCTTAAGCCTGCTCCTCGCATTTACATCTCGATCCCACTCACCCCCGCACTCCCTGCCATTTCCTTGGCCTCTGTCGTCTCACATACCAATAGAGTCACAGAAAAAAAATGAGCCCACCCACCCTCTGACAGTGCGCACGTACAAAAAGATACACACACATATATATTCACCTCGATCGTTCCACCATTCGTCCTTCTCCTTAGATAGCAGTTTAGCCCAAACACAGATGCGCTCAGGCGGATTGCCCCCCTCCCTCTACGCTTCGGACTCCCGTCACATCCATCCACACTTACCTCCACAGAGAATGGAGACTGGGATGCTGTCCTTGCCTCAGATGCTTCTTTCCTCTTAAAGGGCGCACCTGCTTCTCTCTGTGTGTCTCTGTCTATCTCTCCCTCTGTCAGTGGCTGTTTTCCACTAAAATGACAGATGACAAAAGAACCATTAAATAAATACAAGGACGCAGCAACCACAGCTCTGGACGGTGTTTCTAGATGCGTGTTGTGCGTGTCTGCAAGCGCGCCAGCTGGTGCGTGTGCAAGTGTTTATCTATTGCAGATCTCTCCTACTGCTCTCTTATATTTTGCCTAACAACACTAGCGGGGGTCTGGGCATGCTCAGTGAGACGAGGCAAGCCAGTCATGTGACTTGCAGCTGACTGCACTGCTGCTGAGAAATTGAAGAGAAAAAATGTGTGTGATCTGTATGTGCTTCTGATGTTGTATCTGTGTGGTGTGTGAGGAATGTGTGTAGTTGCATAAGTCAGTATCTATTAAAGCTACATGGTGCTCAAGGTGTAGACTTCAGTTGATATGTACAATGTTGAAAAGATCTATGGGCACTCAGTGGAGTAAAAAGCCTTAAAATGAATTAATCTTTATTAAAAAGCTTATGCTCACGATAAATACTTACAAAATTCTTCCTCTAGCTTGTGCTCATTTATTTAGTTCTGGAATCTTTTCTTCTTTATCATCATTCCCAGAATTGTTTCTATACTTTCAGCCCCCTAGTATTAGTGCATTATTTTATACTTCGACAACATTCCACAAGGTTGGGGCAAACTGAAAATTGATTTTTCACCAGTCCTCTATACTTAAATTCCTCTAGACCAGGGGTCTCATTCTAGTGGCCCCCACCGTGATATGAAAGTATAATATTAGTGCGGCCCACAGGGAAAGCGGACCTCTGAAGGAAGTCCCAGCCGCCGGCCCTTGTCATGGCTGACATGGATAGTGTAACCCAGCTGTATTTTATTTGTTTGTTCTGTGTTATTTGCTTTTCTGTATTGTTTTTACTTTATGGGTAGTGTCCCTTTAAGAGCAAAGTACGACATCACTTTACTGCAGTGTTCCGACTGCAGTTACTAAGGGAATTCCCGGGCTTTGGAGTTTCAGAGCTGCTGCGGAGTAAAGACATGCTAATCTCTGGCTACCTTCTGCATAGCGCTTGACTTCTTTATGCCTGATATATGATGTTTTCTTGCTAGGTGAGCATTACTGGAGATTTGTAATGTCGTATGTGTTCTAATTTTATGTATTAATTCCGTAATGTTTTAGAAACCAAACTTCTGTTTTACCGTGGGTATTGTGAGTTAAAATGACTGTCAAGTTTGTCGTGTTAAGTGAAATATTTCATTTTCATCTATGTTCATGAGGTGCTTATTATTTTATGGAGTTATATTCCTGATAAAAAATCTTAAGTACTGTTTTAAAATGGAGCTCACTGCTCTTTGTTACTAGGGGAATTCCCGGGCTTTGGAGTTTCAGAGCTGCTGCGGAGTAGAGACATGCTAGTCTCTGGCTACCTTCTGCATAGCGCTTGACTTCTTTATGCCTGATATATGATGTTTTCCTGCTAGTGCATTATTGTGGCCGATATTGGGGAAAGGAACACTGGGAAGGTGCTCCTGTGCCTGCGGAGGAAGAGAGAGAGGCCGCGGAGTTTCTGTGTCTGTGAACAACGGCTGCCGTCGTCATTCTGGGTCGCCATCCCAGCCAGGACAACATCTTTCATCGATTCGTTTCGTACGCATCAGACACACACAAATATAGAGAGCTCTATATGAACAATTTTTTTATTTTTTTTTTGCTGGCCAGCTTCTTTTATTTATTTTATTTTTTTTTTACCAAGGACCCTGAAAGGATTCTTTATGATCTAATTTTTTCTTCTTCTTCTTTGTTGGTTTTTCCAGGAAAAGTGTATGACGAAGTGTTGAGACGAAGTTGGATGTGTTTCAGTCCAGTAACTTGTAATAAACATAACTGGTTGATAGTAAACTGCTATCTGAACCC